AATTCTCGTTCCCCTCCCCATTTCCCCTGCTGGATCCGACTTCAACCAACCATCTCCATACTCACATTCCTCGTTATTTAAATTAACCCGACATCGCATAAACCAATCATGTACATCATGATGAAAACAGTCACACTGGAAAAGGGCACAGCAAACCAGACGATTCTTCTCAAGCTATTAGATAAGTGGGAAATTATGATAGGGGGAAAAGTGCCATTGAGTTAATGGAGTGCTTATGAACCGACTAGCTAAAATAGCTGCTAGATTATCCAAAAAAACAACCTGAGAGCAAGCGTGCAAGAGAGCAGGACCCGTGTGCGTCACAGCAGTACATGTACAAGTCATGTTTTAAATTATATTAAAGGTATAGTTTACTTAAAATAAATGGTTAAGCGAGTCATTACAGATAAGTGGTTTGACTAACAGGGATGGTGAGACTGTTTTGATATGCAGTTCATACATTCAAATCTATATTTACATGAATAAATAAAACCACAACTTATGTATACCTACACAAAATGATAGCTTTTCTCATTATACAAGACATCATTCTTCAAAACACTGGGGGGAAAAAAGACCTTAAAACTCAAAACAGGTAAAAAGTAGCAGATTTTGTGCGCTCTTGGATGAATGTACAAATAAACGCCACAAATTCAACTTGCTCTCAAATTGGTACACGAATCACCTGCGACTACAATAACTTGTGTGAATGACACAAACCTTTAACAAATCAAAGCCAATATGTCCACTGATGAAATAAAGAAGGACTGGTCATTTCAAATAAAGAGGGCACCACACGTGCTTCCAAACAACAGACAGGAAGATGAAGACGATTGGTTGAAGTCAGAGAGCAATATGAGAGATAACTTAAAGCGGCAGTACCCTTTTAAACAAATGTATAAGCTTCCCAAGTTGAACTGAACTCATAGAATCAATTCTATTGAGAGAGGACCGTATTGCCATCATGGAGTGCTCTTACAAGGAGAAACTAGAGGGACGCCTAGTCAAACTTTGTCGAATTATCTGACAGGCTCAGAGAAGGGCTTTGAAAATTAATTTCCTCGCACAAACAGGCTCAAGTGAACATCTGACCTCAGGAGAGTAAAAATACAAGACTAAAACTGATATAATTGATGTGAGAGCCGAGGATAAAGGGATTATTTATCTATTAGGTGAACTAACTTTTCTGAACTAGTATTTAATAATCATTATTAGTTTAAATAAGGAGAGAGGTGATTTCTGGAAAGACATATCGCTCTCGGCTGTGTTCTTGGACAATAACAGTCTTCTCCATCAATCCACGTCGCTACATCCATAGCTGCGTCATACGGTCGGAAAAATTTGCGGGAAAACTTAAAAGGAGCGATCGCAAGCAGTGACTGTGTAATGAGTCTACACATTTCTCGTGAAAAAGCAGCTTTAAATGTGCATTTTGGGAATGAAAGACTAATAAACGTGTAAATGGGATGTGTAATCTTGCCGTTATATTAATAACAAAGGCCCTTTTTAGATTAAATTTAAAAGTGTACTGTCTCTTTAAATCCCTTTCTAATAGATTACGCTCTTCCCCTTCCTGTCCCCACTCCGCTGGCATGGTCTCTTGCTCTCTAGCCTGATTTGGCCCCAACCAGAGCCATGAGTCCGTCCGTGCTCATAGACTTGGGACGCTCCAGAGGGAAGCCGAGCGCTCTGCTCCACACCAGCTGAGAGAGGACACCCAAAGCTCGGGATACGCCAAACAACACAGTGTAATAGTTCATCTCAGTCATGCCATAATACTGCAAAACACAAGAGTAAAAACAGGAGATGATGAACAAAGCAAGCAGAAAAAATATGTAAACTGTATAAATAGAAAAAGCGGGAGAAAGGAAAGAAACTAATGTGATATTAGTGCAACTAAATATTCAATGTTTTTTTTTTTTATATATGTGACCCTGGACCACAAAACCAGTCATAAGGGTCCATTTTTTTAAACTGAAATCATCTGAAAGCAGAATAAATAAGCTTTCCATTGATGTATGGTTTGTTAGGATAGAACAATATTTGGCAGAGATACAGCTATTTGAAAATCTGGAATCTAAGATTGCGAAAAAATCTAAATATTGAGAAAATCGCCTTTAAAGTTGTCCAAAAGAAAAAGTTTGATTTTGTTGTCCTTACTAATCAAAAATTAAGTTTTGATATATTTACAATAGGAAATTTACAAAATATCTTCATGGAACATGATCTTTACTTAATATCCTAATGATTTTTGGCATAAAAGAAAAATCGATAATTTTGACCCATACAATGTATTGTTGGCTATTGCTACAAATATACCCGTGCGTTTTGTGCTCCAGGGTCACATATGGTCAGTTTAAATATGTTTAAATAATAAAACAATGATATTTTATATATTTTAAACTATTGATGTTATTAAGCATTTTGATACTTATATAAAAACATTCTATTTAATAATAAAGAAATATAATATATACATTTATATAAATATATTTCACAAAATATTCAATTAATCTACATTACATACAAGATAAATAATTTACAGAAAAGTAAGGCACACATACGAGATGTGTTAGGTGCACTTGACAAAAATAACACAGATCCATGGTAAAACACTTTTAATTATAAATGTATATGTATTATTGGCTGGTTTCTTGACTTACTTGTAACAGGACTCCACTGTGTGCATCTACATTGGGCCAGGGGTTCTTGGCCTTGCCCTGCTCCAGAAGCACGTTGGGTACAATCTTGTAGAGTTGAGCTACCAGCTTGAACATGGGGTCATTGGGAAGGTGCTTGAGGGCAAACTCATGCTGACAGGTATAGCGAGGATCTGTCTTCCTCAGAACAGCGTGGCCATAGCCTGGCACCACCTGAATAATGACACAAGGCACAAACGAACATAATCATCCATATTATTTTGATCAATCTGCATTGAGTTTTTGTGTTGATACATTTCCTATTGAATTGAGATATATCAAAAGCACTCACTCTGCCTGATTTGAGTGTGTTCCAAATGTAATCTCTCATTTTCTCATCAGACACCTCGCCACCAAGCTCCTTCTGCAGGGCTGTCAGCCACACCAGCACCTCCTACAGGACAGAGGAGGAAATGTAAGAAATGCAAAGCTGGTTAGTATTTCATAACCATATGTCCTGTGCAACACTAAGCACATTAAATCTCAAACCTGATTGGCCAGTCCGTGCAGGGGTCCAGCCAGGCCATTCATAGCAGCGCTGAAGGAGAGGTAGGGGTCGGACAGGGCGCTGCCTACCAGGTGACTAGTGTGCGCGCTGACGTTTCCACCCTCATGGTCACTGGAAAGAAAGAAAAGCACACAAAAAGGATAAGGTTACGGTCAAAGGACACTAAACTAAATAAGACTAGTAAACTAACACAACCGCAAGAGGGCAGACTTTATTCACTTATCGAAAACAGTCATTCCTCTTCCCCTTTCTTTCTTAAAAGATGTACACTAGCAGGTTGAGTGTTTTCTCGCTGAACAAAATCGGCACGGTCTACAATCACTGATCAAAGAGAGACAGAAAGACATCAATAAACCATCAAGCGCCACACAATCATTTTTCAAAATTAAAGTGCATGATGTTTGAAAGTTTAGCATTATTAACTATCAAGGGAGAATTGCTGGGAACCATTTGGGTAACTTATTTTGACACAATATATATAGAAAATGGTTTAAGGGGAAAAAAATATTATATATAAAACTCTTAATCCTATCTAACTCTTATAAAAGCACTTCAATTGAATCCACTTAATAGGCAATAAAAGTGATAACTGGCTTTGATAGCACAGATTGCAGGTCTCATTGGTCCAAAGTCCCATTCCACATAGCTGTATATTAAACATCAAATAACCAATTATCTTGATAAATCTGTCAATTATTTATTAATCCACAGCTTGATCGATGGTAGCTGCAGCCCTAGAAAATTACTAGACACTGCTAACTTGTCAAGCTGGGTATAGCATGGGAAGCAGATTGTTTGCATTTAAGTTTACACCAATGTTCTTCCTTTTTTGGTTCAGATAGTAGCAGCTCTTCTACAAATAGCCAATTTGCAGTATTGCACTTGTGGCCTGAAAGATCCAGTTTGATAACAGACATCAGATGCATTCAGGTCTCCCAGCAGGGCTGAAAACAAGCTTCACTAACGTGCTTTTCTCCCTGAGAATGAGGTAAAAATCTTGACTCTTCCTAGAGAATACAAATTTTCTGAGGGTAATCACAAAGGTTAAAAGTTCAAGCCGATCTCATTCCTAACGACTGCCTCGAATGAACCAGTGCAGGAGGAGTTTGTGATGAACGAGTCAGCGAGTTTGTAGGTCATCACCTGTGGATGGTGAGGTAGAGCCTCATGAGTTCTGTGAACTGTTGATCGCTGTAGCCCAGCATGTTAGTGAAGTTGTGTGACCAGTCCAGGTTGGAGTCGATGGCGCCGATGCTGCTTCCTTCACGGTACAAATTACGGTAGATCTTAGCCGCCACGCAGGGGAGCTTGGCGATCAAGTCCATGGAGTCCTCGTACACAAACTGCACAGGGATGGCATGAATTCTTGTGAATGACTCACTCACTTTACATAGCAAATAAATATCTTAGGAGTTGTTTTAGTCGTAGTATTTATCGTTACACACTTCACCTTTAAAGTGTCTAGCACAAATATTTTCAGTGACTCACCTCCCAGTACTTGGCCTTGTTAACTCCCTCAGAGTACGCCCGAGCGAAACTGCTCTCGCTGTTCAGAGCCGTGATGGCAGCACTGAACTGAGACATGGGGTGCAGGTTGGTGGGGAAGTTATCCAGCATGGTGACCACGTGAGAGGGAAGGGCCGCACGCTTAGCCCACTCCTTAGACAACCAATTCACCTGAGAAAACAGCCGACAAAGAGTTAAATAAAAGGCAAAATATTTGTGTGGCATGTTACTATGAATACAACTACTAAAACTGCCATCTGTAATGAAAATGGCCTCAGAGGATAATCTCAATTTCTTAAAAGTCTTTGTTTTGTTCAACAAATATTTTTAGAGAGATATTTATTTATGGTTGCCTGTTCAGGGCCACAATTTGATTAACATCCCAACAAGACAATGCAATTGTTGATCTCAGAGCAATCAATATATGCCTATAACGAGTCACAGCTATAAACAGATGACAATCTTGCAAATCGCACAAGCTGGTAGAAAAGATAAAGAACACTGTTTTTCTAAGCAGCTTTAAAGACACATTATCTTTTTAAACTGACAGATTTGACATTGTTTCACTTATATGAGAGGAACTGCAATATCTATATACACATGGTTTTAAAACAGGCAAATATGAAAGCATTTTTATTTTTGCCCTTTTGCCATAGAATAGGAAAAAGAAGGGAAATTGAATCAGAAAAGGTTGCACGCTGGATTCAAACCCACTTTTTTCACATAAGCACCACTGCTCACTGTTTTAAAGCACTTAAATGCTAGGTTACTAGGACAACTGCATCAGAGCACATGCTCTAAATTCTAGGCACTCTGGGTTTCTTTAATGAGTAAGAATGCAGTGAATATGAATATATCCTCACCTGCTCCTCAGTGGGCACCTGTCCTGTGACCAGCAGCCAGAACAGACCCTCTGGCAGTGGCTCCTCTCCACCAGGAGCCTTGGGCAACAGCTGCTGACACTCTGGAATGCTGTAACCACGGAAACGGATGCCCTACAGATGCAATCGATAAACACAGGGATGGCGTCAGTGTGTTTCATTGAATAAAATAAACACTGCAGCTTCGAACTCTGAGAGGGTTCAGGGGTTAGTGGGATAACTACTGACACCAATATATATTTATCCAAGGCACTGTGGTGCCACTTTCTATTTTTAGCTTACAGCAACAGCAGCATACTACTATGCAAATGATGAGCTTCTATGACACTGTAAACTTTCATCATGCCTTCAAGTTTCACAACCTAAAATGTGTATTTGATATGTCAAGGCTAAAATTTGCAGACTGATGGCTCAATTGATATTATGAAAGACAGGACCTTTTAGTCTATTTTGACTTTGTAATTGATTAATTATTACTAACTATAAATAGTATGCATGCCAAATAATAATAAATGAAGTATTAATAAAATATATAACTATTAATAATATTATCATTAGTTAAAGACCATTTTAACACCAACTAATAAACATTTTTATGATTTTGTTACCTATAACATTGTGACAAACCAAAAAAAAAAATCAATTTGGAATGAATTACTGTATAAATAATTATAACCTGGTTTAAGCTACATTTCATGGTATTGTGTGTATGTGCATATACTCACCTCATCGGGGTCGAGCACAGAGGTCTCGTACACTAAACCCTTCATGCCTCTCATTCCTCCATAAACCTGTCAAAATCAAAAACAGCACTCAAACATTATTCAAATACCTATGTCAACACCTTTTTCTGAGCTACAACCAGCCCTCCATCTCACTGGCCTCTAGTTCTAGTGTCATATATGACAGTAATAATGCCCCTCAGGTGCAGTTTAATCTACAGTATAGAATAACTGGCAGTGAGACAAAGACCAAATGACTCAGCTGAAACAGCGGCCATGAGAGCAGCAGCACTCTTAGGGTCCTTGACAAAACCGCCGTCCAATCAGAGGGCAAAAACTATTACTGTGTTTGTGGTGGTTTGCAGCACTACATCATGTGAGATCGGACTGGTCAGACACGTTAGGCAACATTGCTTGTGACATCAGTCAGATAACATGCAATCTGGCTGAGATCACTAGTTGGATATCCTAAATATAAGCCCGCGATTTCCAACATGAGTATTTAAGAAGGTAGAAAGAAAAAAATACACATGATGCACATAAATCTTTAAAATAACCCTGCGCTTTATAATTATTACAAAATGACTGTAATGTAGCCTAAAGTGATGACAGACAAAAGCAGTCACAGTGAATGCAGTGATGTTTCTCTCACCATGTCCACTGTGATCTGACCAATTGTGGTTTTGCCATGCTGCTGTTTGAAGTTCTTGATCCTGCTCTGTTCTTTAGGGATGAGGTCTGCCAGGACCTCTTTCAAATTCTGCATAAGATCAAGGGAAAATAGGTCAGCTTTCGGTTAGTGGATCAGGCACAAACAGATTTAACAACTAGTGCTTTTTGAGATTTAAAAAATTAGCCCCAGATATGTGATTCATGTTACTCAACCTTCCCATCAAAAGCAAGGCTGTGATCGAATCTCTGTTGTGCAATTAAAATCTAAAGCCTGGCCCTGGCTGTGATCATTGATCCAGGCTTGACAAGATACGTACCGTGGATGCGCTGACATTTCTGGCAGCCACAACGACACATGCTGCATTCTGGAAGAGAAAAGAAAAACGATTTTGATGAAAGATGCAATGCAGAGGAAGTTGATCATCATAACCTGGGCTAGCAGTCAGATTTCACTGCAGAAGGCCTGCTGACAGCTGCAAGGCAGGTGACTTTAAAAAAAAAAAGTGACGAAAAGTGACTTTAGTTGCACAATGCAAAATGCGTCAGTTGCCAATTTCTTTGTATTCAAATGACAAGCTTCTTATTACAAGTTTCTACTGGACCAAATATTTTCAACAGGCTCTGAAGTCAAAGCCCAGAAAACACAGAGATACAGTGAATGCTACATGTAATACAACAAAAAATTCAAGGCATTTTTCTATCATAATGTTTAACAGCTTCTTGATTAGCTGCTGTTTTTGTCTAAGAGAGTTACAGCACATTTATTGCACAGACAAGACTGCTAGAGCAACCAGAGGTGAAGTGTGTCTTGAACTATTACCACTGTGCCATTCATCATGACCGCCTTATTTGGGGTTCAATACAATTTAATTATAGCAAAGACATACACAACGACAATATTTCACAGGAACATAAAAGGAGCTCAGGTGCAACAGAACAAAATGAATTCTGCAGAGACAGGTGTATTGATCCAATTGCTAATTCTATTACAGAATTGCTTCAGGAAGAGTTATGAGTTTATCCGCATGGCCCAACCCTTTCCTACATCGAGACACATCCTTCACGTCTATACATAGCTTTAGATTAAGAGCCATATCTGATTGACTCACAGCAGGACCGGATTGAAACTGCCACTGCAGAATGACTCAAGCACGGACGTAAAATCAGGTCAGATTGGCAAGACATGTCGGGAGATAACGAGGGGGCTTGTTTATAGCATTCAGCTGTAGGTTGTGGACTACTGAAATGTTGGTAGTAATTTCGTAATTTTATATTTTTATATTTTATGCTTTTCCAAAATGTTGGTAGTAATTTCGTAATTTTATAGTTTTGTATTTTATATGTCTTTCATATCCAAAACAAACAAACAAAAATCACAAGTGCATTCCAGGCTTCCTTTCACCTTAAGGGTCAGACTAATACTGGAAGACTGAGCTGGATTACACAGGGAATGATTGCGCCTTCCTGTACAAGAGCCAATGCTTTCTACACCATGGGCCTCCTGACCGCCAGACACCCGTCACTCTACCCTAAAGCTACAGATTTCACTGACACACAACAACATACAGTAGCTGTGAGACCAGAAATACACTCATTTATGGGGCGGCCTGTATTGTAGTTGATAAGTACCTGCTAGTCTCTGACCTTTCTGCAAGTCTACGTTCGTGTAATCTGTGGGAAAGGTGAGGCTACCGGCAGCTGTTAGCTTGAACCCGGTGTGAGCGAAGAGAAGGGCAATTACATAAGCCTCTGTAGTAGCTGAATACTTCCAGACATGTCAAAAGCAATACACTTCACATACACTAGAGGTAAATGTGTAATAGAACATATTATAATAACAGCATTCCCAATTAATTTTCTAGACTTGCATAATTTCTCAAATTTTTGTGAACGTTTACATAGGCCTGGGCGATAAAACGGTATCGATATTTATCGACGGTACACCCTCTTCAATAACGATAGAAAAAAATGTTCGATATAGCGCACGATATAGGCACGTGCTATGAGTGACGCAGACTGCACACACAGACACGAACGACAAGAAAAAGGTGGATATGCATAGACATTTTTTAGCTGTTCAATTTGATCACTTAAAAGCTCTTTAAATTTTTTTCAAATTTTTTTTACAATGTAAAAATGATATAATGTAATATAATATATAGAAAATTGTTACTATGAAAGATCTTGTAATTATGTATTTTAATTAAATCTCTATATCAGTACATTTTCTGAAGAAAATGTGATGGTTCTTTTCCTACAAGGCCAACAGATAAATGTCAAAATTAAATAGCAAATTGACATTTTTTTTTTTGAAGCTACAATGTACAAAATAACAGTGGCCTTCAAGGTAACAACACCGTCACAAAGGTTGCAGAGCATAGAGAACGTGCACAGGCTATTAGCCAGCCGGCAACCTTAGACCATTCTATGACCTTTGACTCAGTTCTATTATACGGAGCCAGCCTATATGCAGAATAGATGCAAGGACCATGTGTTAGCAGGGGTCACTAGAAATACCATATGGAGGAATTTCTGGATAGACAAAGGACTCTTTGTCAGCTTTCTTTAGGCAAGGAAAACATATAAAAGACTGACAGGTAATGCACTAATAACTCCTCTGCACTTTGTTTAGACAAAAACATGTTGTTTTTTCGATACTCAAAGCAGATGACAGGTGGACAGCTGTGTCAGACAGGTCAGACATGCTTGTCCACTATCTGAATGCTTGAAGAGGAACAGCACTTTATAGTACCACCACTGCAGAAAAATCCATTCACATATACAAGCAAATCTCTGCAGTGCAGTGTCATTTAAACCTACTTACTTTGAGTGTCCACAGTATTTACAATGCACACTACTGATCAGAGGTCTGAACAAAGTCCAACACATTACCAAGAAATAAAGAAAATTACATAAGGAAGTACAGTACAAAATGCACCTCGGCCACCTCTATGAACTGTCAATCAGCAGATTACATAAGTGTCATACACAGCAGAAAAAAAGCTGAGAAACTCTTCATGGTGTACAAAGGTCATCTAGGGGTGTGAATGGAGTATTAACCCTGAATGACAAGAGCACAGTAACCTATTTTACTATAAAGTCATTCAGACAGTGAGCCGTTGGTTTTATTTTATCTCTATAGCAACAACAAAAGACAATGTTATCTTATGAGAGCACAACTGACACAGTATATGGATAGGATTCCCGGTTTCTAAAGATCATGCATGCCCTTTAACACACCCTCCACTCATTTTTGCTAAACACAATCACAACCTAGTCAGAAGTTAAACGTCATCAGTCACACACATTGCTCAAGGCATTTCAGATCAAAGAAGAAAACTTCATAGAGGAATAAAATTTGTATGACTTGTAAAAATGGATATCACAGCACAAACCCAAAAATGCCATCATTCAGGAAACTAATGCTCAATGTTCACATTACACAACTTCCATAACCGCACATGATCACAAGAGCTTTTATGAACTAGATTAGGGGTTTTAAAAAGGTGTCATGGGACCCACGAGGGAGTACTGGGGGTTCATGGAAAAAAAAAATTATGTAAATATAAAGATTTATAAAAATGTAAACTAAATAAATATTTGTTTTAATAAATGAAAAAAATACCTAAAACACCCACATATATAATATCTCAGAGTACAGCGCTATCGTGAGAAAGAAAAAAGTTATAATGTAATAGTAAGAACACTTTGGTGATAATGTAAAGTAATATAAACTATTTTACATAAATATATCATATTTGTTCACAGTATATATTGGGTCTTTATACATTCAATTTTAAGATGGGAGATGCTTTAAATTTAACGATGACCACATTTAAACCCTACTGAAAACGCATGAGGTATACTCTGCATAAACCCTATATAGCTCTATTATGGTCTATTATAGTGATCTAGCACCTTTGCAAACTATTGAAGTCTGGCCATTAATAACTGAATGACAATTCTGAATGTCAAATCAGTCACAGAGAACAACAAAAATACTGATCTGTCAGACTAAACAGGTGCAGATCCCAGATGTCAAAGTGACTGGTCAAATTTATTTACATTGTAACAAATGAAAACTGGTTAAAGTGTTCAGTGCCCTGTAAAAGGACGTCAACTACACTTCAGAAAGGACTTCAGATGAGACTCGTATGAATATAACCATAATATAACCATATATAACGCTTTTCTTTGTCATGTATCTTTGAACAGCTCAATTACACCATTTTAAAGCTAAAACATAACTTTACATGGGCTGTGTCTGAAAAAAAAAAAATCATCAATTCCCTACGTTGACAACATGTTTGGGGTGCGTTTTGAAAGTTCAATCCCAATTTTTAACGTTTGACAATATTTTTGACCGCCTATGTAGTTTAAAATTGCTATCCAGGTCGTCAGTTAACTAGGTTTTGAAAAAACGTAGGACTTAAAGAGGGAGGCATATAAACATAATGTTTTTCATGCATGAAGTAACGTTACTTAAAACAGATGTTCGATATGGTTTATTAATACGAAATATGGCTGGCTGGCTGTCTGTTACGAAGGTAATCTATGCTAAACTAAGCTAACCGGTAGCAGCCTGTGTTTTCTTCACTCGAGTTAAAATAAAACTTTCCTACCTTTGAACTGAGGAGCCTTGGGGCTAGTCTGCTGATAGAGAGGAAGGACATTGTTCTTGTATGTGTGAATAAATATTACAAGTGCTTCTTTATCGACCCCTGCTTGAAGGTGCCCCTCTCGATACCGAGCTCGCAGTGAAGGTTGAAAAAGGGACTCAGGCCCTGTTGTAGGCGCGGTTTGGGTCAGATAGGGCCTGTTGAGGATGGAACGGCGTTCGCGCGTTCTGATTGGTTGAGGGTGAGAAAACTGATGTTGATTGGTGAAGCGTCTCATCGCGTTTTGATTTGATTGGTTCAAATATGGAACGTACATAAATTATTCAGACATTTCGGCTGTTCTTTAAACTGCCTGACTAGAAATAGAATGCCAGATATGCTCGAAATCTCCAAATGATAATTGGATAATTTAAAGCTTTTTAATAAAGGGTTGAATTATGCTGCTGCTTGTCAATATCAACTAGTCTGATGTGAATTGTTGCTTTGGCTGTTTAAGTATGCGCATTGTCCTGAAATTACTTGAGACTGCATATACACAAAGATTTCAGACTTTATTGGAAAAGGGTCATTAAATACAAATATATAGATACAGAGGCTCAAGGACGTTCATTGCAGACTTCATGCTGCCTGTAACATTGTCATGGCTCTGGCAGGAAGGATTTTCTTGGACCTACGGCACAACAGGACATTCTGGGATATGTAACTTGCTTGGTTGCATCACAATGTCAACGCACAAAACTTACAAGGTTTCTACATACACGTTTCAGCAATACATGAAGGTCACAAAAAATAAATAATCATTTGGTAGGTGAATGAGAAAGTTGAAGGCAGGTGGGACGGCTGATATCTTGTGTTCTATGACTAGAAACTTTAAACTAGCCAACTTTAATAGTCATTTTGCCCAATTTGTTTTCTCATGAGCTTTATGATGTTTAAAATATGTCACTATGTCATGAGCTGGTGAACTTCTCGATAAAACCTGCATATATATATACAGTACACTACTGTTCAAAATTGTGGGAACGGTAAGAATTTTATGCTCACCAAGGCTGCATTTACTTAGTCAAATATGCAGTAAACACAGTAATATTGTAAAATATTATTGCAATTTAAAAGAACTGTTTTCTATTTTAATATATTTTCAAATATAATTTATTCCTGTGATGGCAAAGTTAATTTTCAACCGCTTCAGTGTCACATGATGCTTCGGAAAACATTCTAGTATCAATAAATAATATTTATGTTTATTATCAATGTTGTGCTGCTTAATATTTTTGTGGAATTACTTTTTTTTAATTCTTTGATTAACAGAAAGTTAATAAAAACAGCATTTATTTTAAAATAAGAAAACCTTTACTGTCACTTTTGTTCACTTTAATATGTCCTTGCTAAATAAAAGTATTAATTTCTTTTTAAAAATATCTTACCGACCCCAAGTTTTTGAACAATAGTTTATCTATAAAAGCATATATGCAAATACATGCTTTTTTGGACATTGTCTATAAAAGTACTCTGATTTTACCAACTGATTAACCAAAATTGACCATGGTTACAGACTTTTTTGTCAAAAATATAAATTAACAAAACCCTGCATAAAGAATCTTACAGATAAACTTACAGATAATGTACTAAATGCACAAACTGCCACATTCAAAATTGTAACATAAGTCAGTACTGAAAGGTTTGGTCACAGAGTATTTGGCACGTTTGATCTGTAAACATGAAATTTGCATATGCATGACAATGGCAACGGAAAAAAATTGTGTTCGCCTGTCATTTAAAATAGTTACTCTCTGTGTGAAACTGCGCACAGCAGGGCTCGATGTTTATAAAGAGATATGATGTATGCTTGAGACCTTATGAGGCTTCTGTAAACAGCAGCATGCAGTGTGAGTCATTGATTTTGTACTCTTGCAGTATACTTTGGAGATGTTCAAAACTTGCTGTATGTGCACACTGCGTGCTTTGGGTTAACACACTGTATGCAAATTCTACTTTTTTTCACAACTTACTATTGTGTTTGGCACAGAGATTATGAAAGAATCAGAATATACAGAACCATGCAGCCGGTTTGTCATGCATATAAAGAACCAGGTTCAAATTACATTTTGCAGTTTACATTCAATCAAAACTTCAACAGTATAGGCTAGTGATAGATCAGATCTCTGGTCTTGTTGAGATTATCAGCCAATAACAATGTCCATAAGGCTGATTAACAGATGTGCTAGTTCGGTTTGCAGTCATTGAATAAGAAACAGTTTCCATTGTTTTGTGAATTTTAAATAAATATTGTGTAAAATAGGCATTCATTTCATGTCAGCAATCTCATTTGTGTTCCATATCTCTGCAGCATTATATTATCCACTCTTATTTCTAGATATCAGCATCAGTTTCAGTGTTATTTAATATTATTTATATACTACTATGGCATTTATTAATATTTTAAATTAGCTTTTAATTTTTATATGTTGTTTTCGTTTTCATTTTAGTTTAGTAGTTTGAGTAATTTTATGTGCTTTTGACATTTTTAAATATTTCTTTTTAGCTTTAATTTATTTTTAGTAAATTTTTTAGTAATTTTAAAACTTCAACTTTTATTATTATTTCCGTTAGTAGCCAAGGCAACGTTTCTAATTTTCATTCAAGTTTTTACGTTTTTTTATGCAGCCTAATATTTATATTTTATTTTAATTCAATTAACACATTTTTTAAAATAGTTTTAGTAAACAATAACAACACTGAATCTGTAAACCACTGGTATTTTTCCCATCTTTGAACACAGGGTGGCGCTGCAATATCAAGACTGATCAACATGCATCTTTTACCCATTTTACACATAAACTGACTTAAGATGTTGATTGCATGGGGTCCTTTAGACATTATACTGTGCGTGATTTCCTTGAAAACTGTATGAACCAGAGCAGTTGTATTTCATCTTCCTGGACGCTCAGGAAACATTGACGGTTGCAGTCTGAAAAAAAAAAAAAAAAATCCCAAAATTGAGTCAAAATAGCTGGTGAATTTGGTCCTCTTGATCTCCATTTTGCTCATTTTTTCCTTTGGTGAAATAACGCATCCTGAAGTTAGACACCAGTACTGGGCACCTCTGAGGACCGAGAGCGGACACAGTGGAAGAGATCATTCTTCCTCTTCGTCGTCCTCCTCTTCCTCCTCTATGTTGAGGAAGGGGTCGTATTTGAGGCAGTTTTGGAAGTAGTGAAGGAGTGTACGGTGCAGGTGTTGGTTGCTCCGCTCTTCTCTTAAGGAGTGACCTTCATCTGGGTACAGCTGAAGGGTGTAGTTGGCCTCTACCTTCACCAGACGACTCAACAACTCAGCGCTGTGTTGGAAATGTACCCGTGCTAAACACACCAAAGTAAAACATGACTGGAAATCCACAAATGATGCATGTGAAGGATTTATAATAATGAAACTAACCATCTGCAGTCCCGTGTATGAGGAGGAAGTTTTCATCTTTTAGCTTGTGAATGTCATCCAACAAAGATGCAGCCTGCAAAAAAAACAACATATTGGCATCTCAGTCACATAATACAGAAGATTGTTTCAAAATGTAAAACACAAAGGTAGTTGCAAATTTGTTTCTCATAAATGCCATTTCATTTCTCCCAAATGTGAACTTTTATCCAATAATGGCTTTGTTTCTCATAACTGTAACTTTAAATGTCAAATATGACTTAAAATCTCATAACTGTGTCTGTTAAAAAGTGTAACTTTGTCACAACGTAACTTTAAATTTCACAACTGTGACTTTGTTTCTCATAACTTTGTGACAATATGACTTTCTCACAACTATAACTTTAAATATCACAATGTGGCTTTATATCTCACAAGTGTGACTTTGTCTCTTCACTGAACTTTGTTACAATGTAACTTTCCATCTCACAATTGTGAATTTATCTCTTGTAACTAATTTTGTCACAATGTGACTTTATATCTGTTTCTTGTAACTGGAACTTTGTCACAAGGTAACGTCACAATGACTTTAAATTTCAAAATTGTAAATTTGTTTCTTGTAACTTTAACAGTTACACTTTGTCACAATTTAACCTTATATTTCACAACTGACTTTTCTTTCTTGTAAGTGTAACAATGTAACATGTTACAATGTGACTCACAACTGTGACTTTGTTTCTTGTAACTCTGTTACAATGTATAATGTTACAATTTGACTTTATATGTCACAATTGTGACTTTGTTTCTCATAACTAACTTTATTACAATATGACTTTAAATCTCAAAGTTGTAACTTTATATTTAATATTGTAACTGTGATACAAATGTGCATTTGTGTCTTGTATCTGTAACTGTCACAATGTGATTTATTTTACATTATAGCTATTTTTACCCTGAGGAGTAAAAAAAACAATTCTGTAACTTAATGCTTGATAATGAATGAAAAGGTTGATGCAAAAGGTCTACCGTGTACGAATGCTCCTCTTTAGCTGGAAGGCCTAGATATCTCTCTGAGAAAGCAGCACCTGAAAAACAAAGTTAAATCCTTTTTTTTTCACATAAATGTGAAAAGAAGCTGTAGTGCACTGCAGATTACACCATTTATCACATGGATACGCTTACAAAAAAAGTAGTACCAGGATACTTTGATATATACCATGGGACTGAATGATTACCATATCACATACCATGGTATTCTGACGCACTCCAAGGCACTTCATAGAATGTACTTCAAAGAATGTCCAAAAATATTGTTCTGCCATTGTGTATGGAGCTGGAACTCACTATAGAGCTTGAAGTCTGTGATGGGAGCCATGACAGCGGCACATTTGAACATCTGATCGGTTGCCGTCAACATCTTCAAACCTAAATAGCCACCGAATCCCTGTGAGGACAAAAGAAAGCTGATGTCAGAGCTCTGCAACTGAAGACTAAATTCAAAGTACATATCCTAAGTGAGAATATGATGCAAGTCTACAAAGGGATTCGTTTGCTAAGAAGATGTGTATAAAAGGGATAGGCCACAAGAGCCAGAGCATTAAATCCATTTGACTACTTTTAAGTTGTTATTTGAAACTATGCAATGCATAAACCCTCCTTAACCACTGTAAAAATCTATTTAATGCAAAACTTTAGGTGGTTTTTAGACACCATTGTTCAATAAACAATAAACAAAGTTCTGAGGTTGTTATTTAATGGTATATGCTTTTGTTACATCATTCAGTTCACATTATTTCAATTTATATTTTAAAGAATTGTGTTTAACAGTGGAATTACCGATGAAAAACTACATTACCCATGTTGCTGTGAACAAAGTTCCACCAAAATCACATATTAAAGCTCATTAATGCCATTAAATGCACAGTTTTGTACCTTTGTCTTTTTGTCCAATTTCAAATATTCTTCTGCTTCAAATAAAAGTTTGTAATGTTGTGATTCACCTCGTAGCTGGTTGGTTTGGTTCATGACTTATAACGCATTAATGAAGACTTTTTTTAAAAATCCCTATGGAAAAAATTAATGAGAAAAAAATACTTCCACAACCAACACCATGGGAAAAAGTGGGTGGATACAGCTGCACTTATTAGCCTAACTGTAGGCCGTTTACAGTTTCCAACTTGCATAAATCAGCTATTTATTCAAATGTGACTCATCCAATCAGACGTTGAACTCCAGTTCACCATGCTACATCCTTGTCACGTGACCTTCTAATGCTGCACTGATTCAGCAAGTGTCGGTTTAATTTTTTATTTTTGCATTCTTATTTCGATTTTGTGTAAAATGTAAAAGTTGAATCAAATAATAAGTAAAAAAGAGATGTTAAATGTCATAACTAATATTACTTCTGGTTTATCAATCACTTTGGAAAGTGCATTGCATTGTGGGATACAGAATGTAAGTTTTATACATGCAAGAAAGACACCAATCACAATTCAGTATGCAAATATGTGTCATTAAGAGGAGCTGAGTTATGGTTATTATGGTTTAGAAAAAGCATAATAATGTTTAAGAAATGTCATTACTCTGGAAGCTCCTATCTACCTCAGAATAAACAAAAAGGTTTCTGCAACTTCTCATAATTGTGACTTTACAAATCTCAAAATTTGAAATGGTCGCTAATTTATTGCTCACATTTGTTACGTTATAGCTCACAAATTTAAATCATACAACTGCAACTTTTATATCTCAGTGTGACTTTATACACTACCATTCAAAAGTTGGGGTCAGTAAGATTTGTATTTATTTATTGTTTATTTATTTATTTTTGAAAGACATTCATACTTTTTTTTTTAGATTTCTATTTTGGCATTTTTGCTTTTTATTATGATTTATTAAGATTATTAATAAATCATATCACCCTGTAGCCCAAGACTGGTTGCCCACTGAAGCTAAGCAGGGTTGAGCCTGGTCAGTACCTGGATGGGAGACCTCCTGGGAAAACCTGGTGCTGTTAGTAAGGCCAGCAGGGGGTGCTCACCCTGTGGTCTGTGTGTGCAAGGCAGGAAAATAAGTTTTAGGCAAGCGTAAGTTTTAGGCTTTGGTTTGGTGTACATGTGAAATGCTGTGCTGATCTGTCACCGTCAGGACACTCAGCACGCATCTTAATGCAACACTGGCTTATTACTATAGTATATACAGCCTACTATTTAAAAAATTAGTAAGTTAAGCAGTGGGCATCAGTTCACCATGCTACATCCTTGTCACGTGACCTTCTAATGCTGCAACCTCACAGTTATTATTATTATGATTATTTATGCCATTACAAAAGATTTCTATTTCAAATAAACGCTGTTCTTTTAAACTTTCTGGTCATCAAAGAATCCTGAAAAAATGTCAAATGTTCCCACAAAAATATCAAGTGTTGTCAACATTGTTAAGAAGAAATGTTTCTTGAGCAGCAAAAGTCATCAAAGAATCCTGAAAAAATGTCAAATGTTCCCACAAAAATATCAAACAGCACAAGTGTTGTCAACATTGTTAAGAAGAAATGTTTCTTGAGCAGCAAATCAGCAAATTAGAATGATTTCTGCAGGATCATGTGACAATGAAGATAAACTACATTTTAAAATATATTTAAATAGAAACAGTTACATTTAAAATATATTCAAATAGAAACAGTTATATTCGAACAGAACCGTTTTAATAACATTTTACAATGTTTTACTGCATTTTTGATCAAATAAAAGCAGCCTTGATAAGCTTAAGCTTAAGTTATAAAACTTTTGAATAGTAGTGTCTCACACAATGTGGCCTTTTATATACATTTTATCTCATAATTACCTGTCTCATTTTTACTCTAATGCAGAAATGGGCTTCCATACAATACAATGCTGCCTTACTAACAGTATTATACTGTGAGGGGAGACACTTACATGATAATAAGGAGAGAGTGTAGGTTTCCCTCATACCCAGGAGGCAGGGACATCTTCAGATCTAGGTCTGTAATTATTCGCAAAGGCAGTTAAAACAGAACAAACAGCTGTTTCTACTGTATTATACTGCAAGGAAGTCTGGGTACCATCTCATCAATATTCTAACCACTGGTAAATGAGCTCCCATGAGACTGCTGGTTTTTAACAAACTCTCAGTAACACACACACACGCACAAACAAACACAGTCAAGGGACCTGATACAGTACATGTGCAATTTATATACACAGATGTGTGACGTGTAAGGGAAGGTTTGCATGTGTGGACAAGCAAAAATACACATGCTGCAATAGGCTTCCCCCAAAGGCACCACTAATGGTACAGCTGTGAGGAAACAATTAGCAAAACCAGAAAGAAACAATTATCTGATTGATTCTTAAATCTAGTTGGCTTTGTAAAAGGTTGAAATCAGTTTATGCTGAAAGGAGGAATGTAATCAGTTACTTAAGAAATTGTTTTACCGCTGTTGTCAGAAGAAAGCGTCTGGAAAACCGTCTCCGAGAGCCTCTTGGTTTCAAGAGACATAGCGAGGAGGCTGTTGTCTTCCACCACTGTGTATCCTGCAAGAGCAGAACGCAGACTTACTCAATTTTTGGCATAAAACCAGAACAGTTCACCACATTGGAGTATTTAAATATTAACACTGTGAAATAATGAATCTAGCAAGATAATAAAATTCAAGAGGATACCTTGAAGCATTTTTTTTAATGTTTTAGAGAACACTCTTACTACAACAAACTGAAAATACTCACTGGGGTGCTTTCATTCTAAAATATATTCTATTTTTTCTCAGAATCATATGGGCAATTAAAGTTAAGTGAATAAAGTAGTGCTTGGATGTTGCTATGTGATCATTAAGGTGTTCTAGGTAGTTTATAGGTGGTCCTCTATGATATTCTAGTCTTTAGATATGGTTCCCTCCTTCAATGTATGTACTACAGTTCAAAAGTTTAGGGTCGGTATGATCTTTTAATTTAAAGAAGTTTCTTATGCTCACCAAGGCTGCAATTATTTGATCAAAAATACAGTAAGAACAGTAATATTGTGAAATATTATTACAATTTAAAAGAACTATTTTCTATTTTAGTATATTTTGAAATGTAATTTGTTCCCGTTATGCAAAGCTGAATTTTCAGAATCATTACTCCAGTCTTCAGTGTCACATATGACCCTTCACAAATCGTTCTAATATGCTGATTTGGTGCTCAAGAAACATTTATCAATATAACTGTTGAAAATAGCTGTGTTGAATTTAAAAAAAATTTTTTTTTTATGAACAAGAAATTACAGTAGAAACTTCTAGGACGAATTACACAGTTTTAGGAATTCAAACAATCTCATAATCTTAAAGGCACAATATGTAAGATTTTTTTATTAAAATATCCAAAAACCACTAGAACAGTGTTATATATTTTGCTGACTTGTGTACTTACATTATCCCAAATGTTTAGAAGAATGTTTAAATCCAGAGAAATAAGCAATTTTAACTAGTGACACGGACCGTGTCCATAGTGTCATTGTGTCGCCTGCCAATGACGTCATAACCCCTCAATTTCCGGTTTTGTTTTGTAGAAAACATGGAAAAACCAAAGACGCTTTAATATGTTCGCTTCGACGGCTTTCAGCCTCACCCTGCTTCATTCTACTACGTTAATAAATCATTAGCTCATCCATGAACATGATTTCTGCCCGAGTCCCGTCGGATTGCATCGGCTGTGGGGATGAAGACGACAACTCCCATGATTCCACACTCAGTCACGGCGTCATCAAACTACACCTTTACCTCTTTGCTTATTTTGAATACGCGCCCTCTAGCGGCGAAAATTACATATTGTGCCTTTAAGTATGAACAATAATAAAAGTCATATTTTATAAATGCTTAATACAGCAAACTATAACTATGTTCACTAGGATGCATTTAAATAAAAAAAGTTATTTTTTGACCCAATTGTATTAGCAATTAAAATCTTTTTTTTCTGTTATACAGCCACAAACGGCTGACTACATAACAGCTTGAAATAAGAAAAATTGTAATTCTACTTACTGGAAGGGTCACTTGTGCTGTGAATGGTTACCTTTGGGACACCTGGGCCTGCAAAAGTATGACAGAGATGAGAAACATCTTTTTTGACAGATATGAGAATGTCTTTTTTCATCAGCCTAAGTATGTCTGCATTTGTGCATGAGATTCAGTGTGATCTTACCCAAGCAATAGAGGGTAAAGTATGTCTGATTGGGACTGAAGTCTGCTTTAAAGAAGCTGCATCGCTCAAACAGGTTGCATGTCAGACACTGGCGATGAAACACTCCTCCGAGCTCCACGCTAGGCAACAAGCAAGCATTTCATTATTACACAATTCATCATCAATGCTGATGCAATCAAACTTTAAATCCACCCTTTTTCTTTTTCTTTCCAAACCTATCTGACCTTCTTTTGACCACATATAGTGATCAGGATTGTCAAAATGAGATTTAACGTCTAAGCTTAAAACTAAACTCTTGACAGCCCACTGTCTAAAAAAGCAGCATGAACATTGAAATTTCTCATTTTGCATTTCACAGAAGAAAGTCAGAAAGACATGAGAAAAAGTTATGAAAGTCAGTCATAAGTAACATTATAAATGCCTTTACTGTCACGTTGATCAAATGAATGCATCCTTGATTAATAAAAATTAACTTATTTAAATAAATAAACAATAGTATACAATTTTGGCTGAACTGTCCCTATAAATTCCAATACACACACACACACATACACACACACACACACACGTGCTGATCTGGTTTTCCATTATCCACTTTCGTTAAGCCCAATGCTGGACCTTTGCACTTTCACCATATTGCTCGGATAGTCGCAATAAAAAATCTATGAGAACTTGTGGCCCACAGAGAGCAAGTGAGAGTCTTGAAGCATTAATCAAAGGTTAGAGAACACCCTTTAAATCGTTGTGAGGCGCAGCACCTCCCCCTCTGCCCGACTCCCTTTCACCCTTCTCTATCTCTCTCTGCCTCTGACTTTCTCTCTCTCCTAAGCTGCTGTTCCTGCTAAATGAATTAGCTGGGCTTCTTGCCTGGAGCTCACTAGAGGGGAAAAAAGTCTATTGGCTTTTCACAAATGTCCCTGAAACACATCTCAGACGTAGACTGGAAAGATTTAATTTATTACAACACAAGTCGTCAATGAACATACGTACTCAGAAACTGGAATGTCAATGCGGATGCAGAATATCAACATGTAATAATCAACATATCGAGAAAATGAAATACAACACAACAGGGTGAGCAAACGCTGTCAGATTGATTTAGATGCAAATGCACAGCACGGCATGAGAGGCGCAGAATTCCTAGACAGTGATGATAAAATACTCAATTACAGCTTATAAGACGTATCGGTTTGGGAGAGGACCCACCTGTATAAGTGTCTGCTCTGCCGCGACTCCTCCGTACTCAGAAAATAGCTGCAGGGGAAAGACACATTAGGAAAATCTGAAAAGCTTTTTGAGTTACTATTTGTAGACAGTCATTTATCCTCTTATAATAGAGTCTACTTCCACATACGACCTGCATACTAAGTAGGTTTGTAGCGGTTACACATGAAAAGTAGGGAAGTCAGTGACGTGCATTCATTTCTGTCAGTACCAGATTAATTGTAAGTCATTGATTTGCGGGCCTAAACTTTGATTTGAGCTATAGATCTTACTACTTATAAATATTCATGCTTTGGAAAGATGAGAAAAAAAATTCTGTAAAGCTATGACTTCGGAGATGGTTATTCAAGAGGGTTTGTTTTATGCGGTTGCAATTAGAGAACAAAGCCGGAGAGAAAATAACAGTCATTACAGCCATTTCAACATTAAATTACTGTATTCATTTTAATTAAGTGCCATCTTTGCTGATTCGGTGGGTTAAATAGGATCGCTAGGCGTAAAAAATTCAATAATTAGCTAGGCTACTCATATTAGGTAGTTGGGTTGACTATGAGATGCTTTACGACACAGTCTTGAGGCTTTCGAGATGAAACGGTTTGCTCATCAAATTCGATCTGTCATACATTTTATCGTTCTCCTCGTCAAGGGCGCACAGTGAGGTTACATCCCAGTTCCCTGATGTTAGAAAGCGAGGAGAAACAGAAGGAGTGGAAGTCTGAAGAAAAACAAAGAGAAATAGACAGAAAAAAGCTTATTAGAGGAGGCAAGTTATAATGGAAAGCAGTGGACAGGAAGATAAGAAAACAATAAATTTAAGCGTCAGATTGCAAATGAGTTGAAGAAACAAAGACACTGCAAATAAAGAAAATAAAAAGGTTATAATTAATACATTTATATAAAATATAATATTCATATAATAAAATAAAAATAAGAAATAAAATAAATATCATTACTAAGAACTATTAAATGTATGTATATACAGTATATATATATATAT